GCGCCTGGGATCCGAACCCGGGCCGCCAGTAACGGAGCGCACGCACTTAACCGCTAAGTCACAGGGCCGCTGGGGCACAATTCTTAACATGTTTATGACAGACACTGTTGATCCCCAACCCAATAGCCCTTTTTCTTGCTAACAACCAATTTTGTTCAGGTAGCATTCTCCATGTCAATAAGTGACTTAAACATAGGCATTTAATGTCTTCTAGTAAGACAAGTAGGTGAAGTGCACCCAAGGGATTCTGTGAAAAAAGAACACTTTAGAGAGATACAGAATAATCTGTTCTGGCCTTCAGACATTGTTGTGCAAGCGGATGACGCCTGCAGACGTTGCCACTGTCTCGCTATACCATAAAGGGTCAATCCTGGGGATAAAAACTCACAGCAGGGGCCGGCCCAGGTGGTGCAGCCATTAAATGCGCGCGCTCTGCTTCGCCAGCCTGGGGTTTGCAGGTTCGGGTCCTGGGTGCGCACCAACGCACTGGTTGTCAAGCCATGCTGTGGCGGCGTCCCATATAAAGTAGAGGAAGGTGGGCACGGATGTTAGCCCAGGGCCAATCTTCCTCAGCAAAAAGAGGAGTGGCATCGGATGTTAGCTCAGGGCTGATCTTCCACACACACACACACACACACACACACACATAAAAACCTCACAGCAGAACGGGCCGGCGCAGTGACGTAGCAGTTAAGTTCGCACACTCCGCTTCAGTGGCCCAGGGTTCACAGATTTGGATCCCGGGCGAAGGATCCGAGGACCTACGTACCGCTCATCAAGCCATGCTGTGGCGGCATCCCATATACAATATAGAGGAAGATGGGCACGGATGTTAGCTCAGGGCTAATCTTCCTCAGCAAAAAGAGGAAGATTGGCAAGGGATGTTAGCTCAGGTCCGATCTTCCTCACCAAAAAAAAAAAAACCTCACAGCAGAAGACAGATGGGCAGAAAAACATGGAAAGAACCTGGGTCCCTGATGACACTGCCAAGCCACTGAATTTACCAGTCATGGAATTGCCCCACCCAGACTTCTTGTGAAATAAATCTTCCTTACTGTTTAAGACCCACTCAATTAGGTTTTCTGCTCTTTGCAATTGATTTGCATATTGATACAATGCTCTTTATCAAAAGAAAACACAAAATTCTGAAGAATGTACAAATTCCAGTGAGTTCCTGATAACTATAAAGACCTTGTTATTCTCATACAGGCTGGAGGCAGGAATTTTGCAAACTACACAAAGAGCTGTAGCTTTACCAGAACCACCCTAGTTTTGCCTTACCCTTTCCCAATCATTGAACAGTCCGAAAGAGAATGTGCCTATTTTGTTTTTAGCATTGTTAGCACTTTGAGAAATGTGATGGAGAGTCCAAATTTGCTTCTTTGGAAGTACTTAAAGGCGTTTGGTCCATAACATCCCTTTGTAACTCTTCATACATGGCTCCCTAAAAATGTTGCTTGAATGTGTATTTCCACTTTCCAACAAGAGGGACAGCCCATAGGTAGGAACTGGATTTGTTTCTTTTCTCCCCACGCCCCATACCTGAGTAGATCCACAGTCCAGTATTCTACGTAGGTACTCACCAAGGTTGTAGAGCCAGCTCCTAGAACTCTGGAGAAAGCTTTCATCTAAACATCATGTTTCTGTAATAATTAAACAACTACAAAGGTATGGACAATAAAATGGATTTATTTAAAAAGAAGACTACAAAATTTGACATTGAAAGAGATAAAAAAGACCCACAGGATTTAAACTGATAAATATAAAAATGATTGGCTATAAACAATGTAAAAAACATTTCCCAGTCCCCAAACAGAACATAATTTAAGTACAGTCATGCGTCACTTAACAACAGGGATACGTTCTGAGAAATGCACCAGTAGGTGATTTCATCATTGTATGAACATCATCGAGTGTACTTAACACAAACCTAGATGGTATAACCTATTACACACCTAGGCTATATGGTACTAATCTTACAGGAAAACCGTTCTATATGCGGTCTATCGTTGACCGAAACATTGTTATGCAGCGCATGACTGTATAGCAATTATAAAATTCTTGTATTGTAAGTGCGTTTCCCTTAAAAATTTTAAGAACCATTCTAAACAGTTTATTTGTATAAAATATAACAAGTTAAATTCACCTTAGCTGTTAATAAAAAATTATTTTAAATTTGAGTTTATTGAGTTTGCTTTTTTCAATACATAACAGTGGTTTTGGTCCCAAGTTCTCCTTAAACTTTTTATTATTTACCACAATGGTCTTTTTACTCCTAACTCCTTCTACAATAGAACAGAGGAGCTAATCAGTTATGGGTCTCATAAAAAACAACATGAAGAAAAGTTCTAGAGTGACCAAAAATACCAGCGAATATATTATTTTTCTGAAAAGGAAAGGATTAAGTGGCCAGTTAAGAGGCCCACTTCTGCACCAATAAAACAAATGGAAGAGAAACCTCAGAACAAGCAGAGCTTAAGCTCAGTGCCAACATGCTATGTGGGTGAGGCCAGCTGAGCACATGTCCGTCAAACTCAAATAAGCCCAATGCAAGAGTGGGGACCCTGAGGTAGCCCAGATGGTTTACTGTGAATCCCACCTGGGTCTAGATGATACCTAAAATGACAATGGTACAGTCTGATGTGAAATTCCAGAGCTTGCCTACTCTAACCTAGTTATCTTTGAACCAGTCTTTATTCTTGTACCCAAGACACAGGCTATTTCTCCTCTCTTAGATGGCACGCCCAATAAAAACAGCATCCATGATTGGTTTCCTTATTTCCCAAGTAGGTAGTGGTAACATCACCACTGGTACTAGCATCCAAACTCTGATCCTGAGTTAGTAAGACACAGCAGAGGCTGTGTCTGGCCATAAAGACCAATTTCTGAGAACCAAATTAGCCACATTCATGTGGCTGAAACCCATCTACAACACACATATGGCAGATGAGAAATTTCAAAAGGAAGGAGTATTAAATTGTCTCACTGGAAACATGATTCCATTGTTTCACATAGAAAACCTAGCCCAGGGACCTCCACCAAAGTACTGAAGGACCTGACGCATGGGCTCATTGCCTTAACACTAGAGTCTTGAATCAAAAATCTACAAGAACAAGAAATGTATAGTCTGTGAATCACTTGGTCAGAAAGGTCCTATCCCAAGTGCTCTGGCTGGCTGGCTCTAAGACAGCCTACCAACAACAGACAATTCTTCCAAATTATCAGAACTGGTTACAAATAGTTTGACTACTCCCTTACACCATCAACAGTATTAACCTGGGCAGGATTCTCTAGATATTCACTTTCTTAAGAAGGTCTCCTCTAAAGAGAAACTAGAGCAATGTCTATGTGGGAACAAGAAACCTAAAGATCCTGCTAAATACTCTATGCAATTAAAAGGGCCCAAGATCCTGGACCACCCAAATATAACTGCTGACAAGAAAGAGTCAGAGCCAGAGGCCCACCTCTGCCAGATGAAAAAGCAGTGTATGGACCATTCTGATATGGAGACAGAAAAGGGAGCATCTCAAATAGATGAAAAATCAAAGACTGGGGTTTTAAAAAGAACACTGGCTCCAAAGAAAACACTGAAGGGGACCTGCAGAGCTGTATCAACCTCAACAGAAATAATCATATGCCAAAAGGGAAACAGACCATTTTCTAACTCAGAGTATAACTCATCATCTCTTCAGACCCTTGGTAAGTGGTCAGAGCCTGCTTTTATAATTACTTTCACTGTTTTGAGCCAAAAGTTTATCTTTCCTATCTTTGGTCCTTAGGCTTGATATCAGTTTCTTCCATTTTTCTGTGTTATATAAAAATCTTACTTTTTTTTTTTACGTGATATCAATAGCAATCAAAGTGCAATATAAACATGGGGTTGCTGATGATGTTGCTTTTATACATATAAAATACCAACATTTACCATACATTTTCTATTAGGCTGTAAAAGATCTCAGAAAGAGTTAATAGTAATTATTCTAAAACGTTACAATATAATTTTAAGGCTGAGTGAGATACAGTAAAGCCTAGGTATTATATTTTAAGGAAAAAAACCTAGACCAACATTTTAAATATTGATCTCTTAAATATACATTAAATTTTATCTAATCATCAAAAAACAAACTCATAGCTAAGCAAATTAATTTTAAAATGAAACAATTTCTAAATGTATGAACTTAATCATGCTGTTTATACAGCCATAAAGCATAATTTAAAAGCTAAGCTTAGTAACAATGACAGAATAACTTATCATCAGTTGAGCTATGTGATTTCAAGAAACAACCATCTGCACCTCCAAAAAAAAAAAGTTCAACTGTTATAAAAAAAAAAAATTAAAAAACCCTCTGGCCTAATTTGTGGGGGCTGGCACACAGTCCAGAATTGATAAAACTGCCTTCCTGCCCTTCCCCATGCTCTTCAAAAGAAGTGGTTTAACAATTACACAAATTTTACAAGAGTTTCTGTCAGCGCTCAGGCACCACGTAGTCGCTACCCTCTGTAACCCCTGCTCCCTAGAGTCCTTACGAAGTAAGTGGTTGAGTGAGGGCCCTGGGGGCAGCCTCAGGTTTCCTCAGGTGGGACTCCTGTCGCTTTTCATAGACCATAGTGCAAAAGTCAAACAGGAACATAAAACTTGCAAGAAATCCAAACACCTGAGGAGGAAAAAGGGCAAAGGTTATATGAGGAATTTTGGGATAAAATCTCACATTTCCTTCTTGGCTATGAAAGTGTTTCATATAAGGCAGATGATTTATCAATTTTATCTTATACACAGTATTCTTAACTTCAGTGGCAAAAAAATTTTTAAGGTCATCAAAAAATGGAAAAAAGTTATAAAAAATATTTCTACAATAATGGCTATTAGTCAGTCTCACAAAATACAAACATCTTGTCTATATGTGCACATGTATGTGTGAGGTGCCAATCTATAAAACTAAGGTTAATAGATGAAAAATAAAATCCTATAAAATGATACAAAACACAGGACTATTAGCAATGTTAGACTAACCCACAGACAAGCGAAATATGTGTGTGAGTAGGCAGATGAGTTTAGGTGAAAATAGAAGAAGTTATTAATATCAAAACAGAAATACTATTTTGAAGATACTTTTAGGTTAAATTACCTAAAAAATATTTTCCAGTTAATTGTCACACTGTAATGACACAACAACATGACGCCACCACCTACTTCCTCTTCCTTATATCACTTCCTTATATCACTTCCTTGTATCCTAACATATGATCAAACATTTTGAGAATTCCATCAAGAGACAGAAGACCATGATTCAAATTTAGTTTCTTTACTAGCAAAACCCTTAAGGAAACGGGGGCCAAAGAAGCGTTCAGTAAAAAGAGAAAATTCAGGGGCTAGCCCGGTGGCGTAGTAGTTAGGTTCGCGCACTCCGCTTCAGTGGCCTGGGGTTCGCGGGGTTGGATCCTGGGCATGGACCTACACACTGCTTGTCAAGCCAGGCTGTGGCGGTGTCCCACATATAAAATAAAGGAAGACTGGCACAGATGTTAGCTCAGGGACAATCTTCCTCAAGCAAAAAGAGGAAGATTGGCAACAGATGTTAGCCTAGGGCCAATCTTCCTCATTAAAAAAAAAAAGAGAGAGAGAGAAAATTGATGTAGGCAATGGCTAAAATCCCTTCCAACTCTAACACTCCATCTCTATGACTTTCAACATTTTGTTGTAGTCGGCTGCAGTCTCTTGACCCTTCATACCCAACCCCTCCACCCTAAAGAATATGCATTCTGTTTCATTTCACAGTAAAGCAAACTGAGCCCCAAATTCATTAATTCACCTGGGTGCTCCCAACACAGCCAACCTAAATTTAATTATCAATTCCACCCCCCTAAAACCCAAGTCTCTTCTCCCCTCTGGAGTCTTTATTTTGGCTTGATGGCATCTATCCTCTTATTTGACTGGCAAACTTACTGAATACATTAAACAGACCAGATGTCACCTTGTCTGTGAAGCCACCTCTGACCACCTTAGAGAGCTCCTGTCCATGCAGGGCCCTCTATCCCATATAATCCAGACAAATGATCTTCCACTCTTTTGCTCACATACTTCACAATTTTTTTTGAAAAATGGACTCCCTCAGTCATTTAAGTCTATAAAGTTTTTCATAACAAATAGTTGCAAAAGGTAATTTCCAGCACATTATAAATATTGAGTTTTTAAACTACCAGTCACTCTTAAATATATCCAATGAAATCTAAATACTATAGCAATCTAACACATCAACTAATTAAAACACATAAACAAGCTCTTTTTTTTTTTTCTTCTTCTCTTGGACTTCCCCCTTGCCTTGGGGAGCAGTGCTGGTCTTTTTTTTTTTTTTCATTTATTGCAGTAATATTGGTTTATAACAGTGTATAAATTTCAGGTGTACATCATTATACTTCTATTTCTGCATAGATTACATCATGTTCACCACCCAAATACTAATCACAACCCATCACCACACACTTGTGCCGAATTATCCCTTTCGCCCTCCTCCCTACCCCCTTCCCCTCTGGTAACCACCAATCCAATCTCTGTCTCTATGTGTTTGTTTATTTTTGTTATCTACTACTTAATGAAGGAAATCATACGGTAATAGCTGGAAAATTTATGCCATGCTTTTTTTCCCCTTGAACTCAATTTCCCCCCAACTCCATTTCACTTCTTCCACAGTATTTTAGTTATACATTTTTATACTCGAAAGTATTTTAGTGATCACCCTATCATACTCCTCTACAGCAAAAATATGTATATAAACTGAAATTAACCATTAAGCTCTATTTAAACTTTGACTTTCTCTTCAATTGGTTCATTTATCCATGGATAAATATTACTTATTGCTAGCATGAGTCAAGGTTCAGCATTGGTTTTATTTCCACGTTTTGTTTTTATACATGTAAGTGCTAAGAAACCATACTTACATGAATAGGTAGATATACCACAGCCATGCAATTCTCTGAACTCCTTTCAAGTTGTTCTAGCACAAAAAGCAGTCTTAATGATCTTTTAGCTGACAACTCAATTAATTATAATTTCAATTTTGTTATGAACAAAGTATTAACTGGAAACCAGCTGACTTGCAAGAGGATTTGTTATCCAGCTGTTAGTTCATGTTCACAACACTGGTACCAATTCAGGTCCATGATCCTTGACTGGCAACTCTGAAATCCAAAAATCTACAAAAACTCAAAAGTTTTCATGATTTACTTGGCTCAAAATTGACATGAGGTAAAACTATTTACAGTCTTTACCTATTCCTTTTACTGTGAATATTTATATGCTTCAGAAATATTAATATATTGGATTACAGGGTGCTGTCCCAGGCCCTCTGAAGGTGTGATATAACATAGTATATGTACAGTATTAGCTTTCTAAAATGCAGAATATTCTGAATTCTAAAAAAAAAAATCTGGCCTCCAAGGATTTCAGATAAAAAGTTTACTTATCTATCTCTTTTATTAGGCTGAACCTTTGGATCATTTCTCCTATGTATTCTCTACACCTAGAATGACACCTGGCATGTAGGTGTGTTTTTGTTGAACTGAAAAGTGGAGAAATATAAGATGATAAAGTCAATTCTACCACTCCCATTAGCAATAACATGTTCATATGTAGAGTAAATGGATTTTTGTTAATAAAACTCAGTCAAATTCTAAAGACAAGTTCTAGGTTTTTAAGGCTATCATATTTATTTGCTTTTAGGTCTTCTATTCAAAATAACACTAAAAAATAAGTTAAAAGACAAACTACTCTCCAAAATTGTATAACTTGTCAAGTCCTTTCCAAATTCCATATTTCTAAGGAACCAAAAATAAGCAAAGATAAAAAATACAAGGTACTTACAGTTGCTGCATATTCAGCTGAGGTCCTGTCATGTGTGGCAACAAAAATGCTGGACGCCACTAAAAACACACATCCTGTTCCCAACATAATATAGAAGTCCTATACAGACATATAAAACATAAAGAATACAGTATGGTTAGGTTGATGAAACAAATGTTTTAGTTTTTTACTTTTAAAAAATTTTAATGACTTGCCTTTTTTTAGGAACACTATCCACACTTTGGACAGGGCATATTCAGAGAGTGCATCACAAGATAATCTTTTAATAAATAAAAACATTTCCCCCAAAATTCCACACGTGTGTGTGTGCATCCTCTTTATCTCTAGGACATATTAAAATGATCAAAGCCAAAGGATTTATTAAATCCCATCTTACCTCCAGCAAAAAAAAAGCATTTTCATTCCCTTTCAAAGTAGTCTATGCTAGGATGGCCTCTCTGAGAGTACTTCAGTGCTCTGAAAGCACTTTGAAAAAGAGAGAATCAAAAGAACCACCCATCATTAACTAAATAAAATTATTCCAATAGTATTTTTTTTTAGAGACTTGAGCTTTCTGGAATAACGTATTGCTTTCAATTGTTCCAAGTGGGAAATGAGCTTGTACGATGAGCTTATCTACTACAAAATGAGCTTATCTACTACACAAATGCTTCCACATCTCATAGTAAGGCAGCTTACAGCGATGAAGTTCTTCCTGGGTGTCCAAGTGCTCGCTCAGGCATTACCTCATAAGGCTCTCTCACATGCCAACTGAAAACAGTGCTTGACATACATACTTGATTCAGAGGAGAAACTGGTAAAATGATAGCCACTCCAAAAGGTTTTAAGTCTGATACTTTTTGAGTTTTCTGAAATGCAATCTCCACTAAACCTAATAACAATAAAAGTATCCAACACAGAATTCTTATACTGTCAATCATTCACTTAACAATTATTAAAAATTTAAAGAGGTTTTCTCTTTGCTTCTAAAAGAGGTGCTTTTCTGCAGTACTTTTTCTGTTTTTCTATTGCTTTGAATTTTATTTCAAATCTGTTACATATAAATATAAAACTATTGGGCCCAGCCCAGTGGCGCAAGCGGCTAAGTGCACGCGCTCCGCTGCGGCGGCCTGGGGTTCACCGGTTGGGATCCCGGGTGTGCACCGACGCACCACTTGTCAGGCCATGTTGTGGCGGCGTCCCATATAAAGTGGAGGAAGATGGGCACAGATGTTAGCCCAGGGCCAGTCTTCCTCAGCAAAAAGAGGAGGATTGGTAGATGTTAGCTCAGGGCCCATCTTCCTCACACAAAAAAATTAAAATAAAATTTAAAATAAAATAAATAAATATAAAATTATTTACTAATATTTGGAGTACATTCAAGGAGGTATTTAAACAAGACAATCATTTTGAGACAGAATACTGTAGCGTTCAATAAACATGAGTTCTAGAGACAGACTACCTGAGTTCAAATCCCAGTTACAGTACTTCCCAGCTATCTGACCTTGAATTAGTAACTATTATAATGTCTGTGTGCCTTTGTTTCTTCATCTGCAAAATAGGAGTAATAACAGTATCTTCTTCATAGGTGATTCTAAAGATTAGAGTTAACCCACGGAAAGTGCTTAGATCAGTGCCAGGCACAGAGTAAATGTCCTATAAATGTGGGTTATCGTTATTTTTTTGTGTGTGTGAGGAAGATCAGCCCTGAGCTAACATCCATGCCAATCCTCCTTTTTTCGCTGAGGAAGACTGGCCCTGAGCCAACATCTATTGCCAATCCTCCTCCTTTTTTTTTCGCCCTTTTTCTCCCCAGAGCCCCAGCAGATAGTTGTATGTCATAGTTGCACATCCTGCTAGTTGCTGTATGTGGGACGCCGCCTCAGCATGGCCAGAGAAGCGGTGTGACGGTGCGCGCCCAGGATCCGAACCCGGGCCACCAGTAGCGGAGCGCGCACACTTACCGCTAAGCCATGGGGCCGGCCCTGGTTATTATTATTCTTGATAGAATCTCACCCAAAAGCATGGGCTACAAAAGGTTTTCTCTTCAAAACGATTGTCATTCCTCCCTAGACACCACCACCACCCCCACCACCACCACCATCACCACCACACATATACGTTTTCTCTAAAACAGAAAACCTCTGTTCATGAAAAAATATTTAAAATTTAAGTATATTAATATGCAGACAGTAAAAGTGATTTTTAAGCCATTCAAACAAATATGAAATCCTTATGATGTTAGGTGAAAAGTAAAATATATATACACTATGATTACAACTATTTTAAATTTTAAAAATCACCCAGGAATAGAAACAAAAGACTCAAAAGAAATACAGTAAAATATTTACAAAGCTGTTTTAGGATGAAATGACTGATTTATTTTTCTTTTTTTCCAGTATTTTAAAATCAGTATTCACTCTAAAATAACTTATTAAATACTCAAGTTTGATGTAATAAGTGTTTTACATTTTGTTTAGACCATTACACTAAACTGGACAATATTATAACATTGTGTCTTGTCAAAAAGATCAATGTTCTTAAATACTACAGATGCAGTACTAAAGTAAAACCTAAACATTTCTAAAAAATATTTTCATGGATAATGATACTGTTTTACTCTTGAGAGATAAGAAACGAAAAAATAGCTTCAATCTTTAATGTTTAAAATATACATTTATACATTCAAGCTACAAATCAACCAGCTTAGACACTAGTGAACTTTTACCTTGTCCAAATCTTATCATATACTTATCTGTAAAAAGGAAGAACTTTCAAAGATCACAAATATAATTAACAGAAATTCTAAGGTAGTCTCTGCATCCTCTTCTTAACACATATTTCATAAAATATATGGGTTCTGTTGTTGTCACCATTATACAGAGATTCCTGTGATGATATTTGCTGTGACAGCATCTAAAGTTGCTAGGGCATTGCTTCTATCAGGATTCTATCTAGGCCACATGATAGAATGCAGAGTGTGAGGGCTTTCCTAGGTTCAAATCTCAATTTACTTTCACCCTAGCTGTGTAACTTTGGAAAGGTTACTTAACCACTCTGAACCTAAGTTTCCTCAACAGAAAAATGGAGCATAAGGGGTGAGGATTCTAAATCCAGCATGTAAAGTGCCTGGCACACAGTTCGCACTGACAGCAGCTATTATCTGCCAAGATAACGGAATGGTCCCATATTGGCTGTACCAAGAACTGCGGGTATGTGCTCACCAAAGACTTGATGGATTTGATTCACTCTACTTGTTTTTCAAAGTTTTTTTTTTAACTGTTTGGTATCAAATTTTTATTTTTTAATTTTTAAACTTAATTCTTTTAAAAGAAGGTAACAGATTCCTATGGTACAAAATTCAAGAGGTACAAAAGACTATACAGAAATAAGTAAATATCTTAGGTGTATAATCAATATATGACCCAATGCTTGCTTCTCATTAACTTAAAATAATAATAGAATCTTACTGTTTGGTATTTATCTTGTTATCTCTTATTCTTAATAGTTAAAAATTTACCCTAATTTTTATCTTTTCCCTCAGAGATGTGAATTCTTTCATATGTGAAACCTGACAAGTACAATTCTTCACAAATCACTACTACTAACTCAAATGCTACTGAAGAAGGCTCAATTCTTTCTTCCTTAAATGCAGGACTTATGTGAATTATCTCATCTGTCATCTCACAAATCCATACTAGGCTCAAATAAAAACATAGGATCAGCAGACTAAGTCTTTAGAAAATTAAGCATCTCCAATTTTGTAAAAATAAAATTCCTATGTACACTTTTATTATATGGGAAACTTCTAAAGAATGAATTCAGCAAATGCATTCTTAATTCACCTATAGATAATTTTTTATAATAAAATCAAAACAAAATAGGTACAATTACAGGCTGTTTTATTTAAAAGCTCCAGAAATATATCACATTAGTTCATTACTCTATCTCTAGTGTCTAACATAATGCCTGGCATTTAATAGATACACAATGAATAACTGTAGAATCAATGAGGGACACTCTGAAATGTGACAAATCAAAAGTGACAAAATCCGGGCCGGCCCCATGGCTTAGCGGTTAAGTGCGTGCGCTCCGCTGCTGGCGGCCCGGGTTCAGATTCCAGGTGCGCACCTACGCACCGCTTCTCCAGCCATGCCGGGGCCGAGTCCCACATACAGCAACTAGAAGGACGTGCAGCTATGACATACAACTATCTACTGGGGCTTTGGGGGAACAAATAAATAAATAAATAAAATTACAAAAGTGACAAAATCCTAGGTTTTAAAAAATATCTAATGTGAATTAGATTAACCCACCACCATAAACTACTGGCAGTGTTTGTCACTCATTCTGATTTCACCTTCCCCTTCTATCATCATCCCATTTGGCGGGGAAAACAGCTGCTTCGAGGCAGAGTTGGAACAATGGATAGTGTCTTCTCACGTTAACTGAGTTTTGAAAGTATTACTACTTTGAACAATAAAACTAGACATGATTACAAAACAGCTATGTTCTTAATGTAGGGATTATATTTTTTCCTGCTTACCGATGCCTTGACTTTTACAGAATCGACTCTGTCATAAACTGGAGTGCAGTACACGATCAGTATGAGCAGACTCAGAAGAGAGGCACTGCAGCTCACAAATTCAAAAAAGTAAAGTCCTCCACACAAAGTACATTGCGCCACGACTTCTTCACAGATGAAGGCCAGCAGAGACAGCACCTACAAAAGAAACAAAACATTTTACTGAAGTGTTTTCCAGAGAAACCTACAGTATTCAGAAAATACCATCTGTTCACTCAAATATTTATAAAAGTAGAGACTACGGAAAAAAAGATTACTGAATGCACCCCAGCTACACAGAACTTAAGATCTGGTTGCATACAAATAATTAACTACTGTGTGCTAAATGCTAGAACAGGGGAAAAACAGGGTGTTGTTAAAAAAGGACACAGAAGAGGCACTCAACTTAGGGGTCAGGAAAGACTTCCTGAAGGAAAGCTAAGACCTGAAAGACAGTGGGGTCAGTTTTGGGGGTGAAAGATAGGGAAAGAAGTTCCAGGCAGAGGAGCAGTACATAGAAAGACCTAGAGGTGAAAGAACATAGCACCCTCCCACCCCCAACTGAACTCTGAAAGCAAGTTGAGTTAACACAGCTAAAGTGTTGAGGGAAAGAGTTTGAGGGAAGGAGGATGGCAGCACAAAAATGATCAAATGAGACTAGAGAAGTAAGCAGAGGCCAGGTCTAAATGTCCTCTTTAGTTTAAGGAATCTAGATTTTAAGGGTTTTACAGCAAAGGGGTGACATGATCAGGTTTATGCTTTTAGTAGTTCTCGCTAGCTACAATATGGGGAAGGGACTGGAGGTAGGGCAAAACTTGGGGCGGACATTCAGCTTCCGCTAAAGTAGATCGGGGAAAGATGGTGACCGGGGTAGTAGTAATAGAAGAGAAAAGTAGCTAATCACTGAAAGAAGCTGTAGAAGCCCTTATCAGACAGGGCGAATACAAACAGATTAGAAAACAAGATAATACATATGTACTTAAACGTTTTATTTTCACTTAAAAAAAAGGCACATTTATTCACCAATCTTTTCTCTTCTTTGAGTATGAGCCTACTGATGGAACCCCCCTCATGTTTTCTGCATTATTCACTTTCATCATTTAGGACCACCACCTCCAGACTGATGTTATTTGAAGTGGAGAGAGATCTTGGACACTTGAGAAGCAGAGTGAAGAATCCTCCTAGAGTTGGACTAGTTTTACCAGCCTTTTACTGTTGCCTTGCTCTTACTTAATTCCATAGCAAAGATTTTAGTAACTTATTTTTTGATCTTTCCAAAGCATTCAATTTAGTTTTCATAGAAACAATTCCTTTTCACACTCAATTTTAGTCTGTGTAATATTTAATTAAAGGTTTGACCATAAAAAGTATAATTAGTATAAACCAGTATGGGAATAAACACAAGTCAACTGATGACAGAGGTAAGAGTGCTCAAGAGGGACCTAGCTCTCTGTGATAGACAGGTGTGAGTCAGAACACCTTGCATTGAATGGCGAATGGTTACTTCGGGTTAATTCAGCAACTCAATTAAATGCAAGTGGGTTTTAACTGTGCTCCCACTGTTGTGTATGTGGTATTAATACTGATTCCTCACTGCAGAAAGAAGTTGTTTTTTTCTTTTTAAGAGGCAAGGGTGCTAGGGAGAGAAAAAATTCAGTTTTAAATATGCTGTGTTTGAGGGGGTCTGTGGAAGAGTCAGGTGGAGAAGTCTAGGAGGCAAATGAGCATACGGGTCTGGAGCTCAGGGGAGAGGTCCGAGGTGGAGATAAAGATGTGGGAGTCAGCCACTGAGATGGCCCAGAATGAAGGAAGTTGGCTTTGTGCACAACTCTAAGGAACCCTGAGGTTTAAGGGATATGCAGACGGGGAGACACCAGCAAACGACAATTAGGAGCAGCAGTCCAAGGGGCAGTAGACCAAGAAACAAGTATTTCTACGAAGAGCAAGTAATCAAGAGTGCTGAATGCCACTCAGAGGTCAGGTAAGAACAACACAAACACAACTGACTGAGCTACAGGAAGGTTGCTGGTGACATCAGCAAGACAACTTTAGTACAGTCAGGTAGGGAAGCTTAGATTACAGTACTGTATATTGGGAAGTGAGGGGAAGACAAGGCAGTGGAATAGAGAGAGCATAGGCAAAAAGCGTGGTTTCGAAAGAGTGGCCAGATAGGGTAGCAGTGGACGAGGTGAAAGGGAAGGGAACTGCGAGATGAGAGAGAACTGGGCATGTTTAAATGCTCAGGCAGAAACCAGTAAAACGGGTGGGTCTAAAGAGAGAAGAAGAAAAGAGGCTACTAAAGGTAGGATTCAGGGCTCTGCTTTGGGACTAACTCTTCTCTAGCAATAGGAGGGAAGAGAGAGAAGAGAGGTTCACTGGGGCAGTCTGTGTGGGTTTTGTGGAAGCTGAGGGAATTGCTTTCTGACTGTTAAAACCATCAAAATGACTGACGACCGAAGTCAAAGCTATTGGGAAATGCCATCTCACTCAAGTCAGGCCAGTAAAAACAACCAGATATATTAACGGCAACAACACTGCTACCAAAATCAACAGTTACATTTCATGGTATATAATAAAAATTTTATCCTACAAAACAATTTCATCAAAAATAGGTCAATGGTACAACAACTCTGGAAAACAGTTTCGCACTTTCTTAAAAAACTAAGCAAGCAACTGCCATATGACCCAGCAACTGCATTTCTGCATTCTGCATACAACTCAAAGAAATGAAAACTTAAGTTTGTGCAAAAACCAGTACATGAATGTTCATAATTTTATTCATAATATTGGAAGCAATCCAGATGTCCTTCAATGGTTAAGCAAACTGTGGTACATCCATAGCATGCAATACTACTTAGCAATAAAAAGGAACAAACGTGATATACGCAACAACCTAGATGAATCTCCGGAGAATTATGCAAAGTGAAAAAAATACAATCTCATAAGGTTACATACTACATGATTCCACTTATACTGCATTCTTCAAATAACAAAAATTATAGAGATGGAGAACAAATTAGTGGTGGCCAGGGAAGAGGAGAAATGTGTGGTAAAGGGGTAGCATGAGGGAACCCTGTGGTCATGGAACAGTTCTGTATCTTGATTGAGCTGGTGATTATAGGAAGATACACATGTGACAAAAACTGCACAGAAGTGCATACACACACACACACACAAGTGCATGGGACCTCCCTGTACATTTTTTGGGGGGCAAGTTCCTGTGAATCTATAATTATTTCAAAATAAAAAGTTAAAAAAAAAAAAGGTCAAATCTAAATTGGTATCTAAGCCTCTAAGGGATTTCCCCCCTGCTACTGGCAATACAAAATTCATTTTTCCCCACCGCTGAAAAGACTCTATGTAAGGATGAAAATAGATCCTATCACTATGATTTCCTGTAAGTTAGTGAGGCATATCCTAAACAACTTCCTTCACACAGATGTTAGGTGAGTCCTTCTCAATCATCACACTACAGGACACAAAGTGACAAATCCCAGAAGACCATCGTGTAAAGGTACTTCCTTAACCTCCTGTAATTAATTATAGGATGAGTTTTTACATGACTATAGTAAAATAAAATACTAAATGTCTAATATTCCATTTGCTTTATTCTTGTCTCTATGTTAAATCTTGTCCAAGTTTTAGGAGTTTCTCTACAAGAAATTTGCAAGATACACCTCAGGTGTATCAGTTACTCAATTAACTGGGAGAAGATATCAGTCTAAAAGTCTAATTGGGGGCCGGCCCCGTGGCTTAGCGGTTAAGTGCGGGCACTCCGCTGCTGGCGGCCCGGGTTCGGATCCCGGACACGCACCCGACGCACCGCTTCTCCGGCCATGCTGAGGCCGCGTCCACATACAGCAACTAGAAGGATGTGCAGCTATGACAGACAACTATCTACTGGGGCCTTGGGGGAAAAATAAATAAATAAATAAATAAATCTTTAAAAGTCTAATTGGGGTTTGACCTTGAACCATTCTTATTACAATACAGTAGTCCCCCCTTATCCACGGTTTCACTTTCCACAGTTTCAGCTACCCATGGTCAACCGAAGTCTGAAAAATTACATAGAAAATTCCAGAAATAAACAATTCATAAGTTTTAAATCGTGTGCCATTCTGAGTAACTGATGAAATCTCTCGCAGTCCCACTCCGCCTCTCCTAGGGCGTGAATCATCCTTTTGTCCAGCATATCCATGCTGTACCCGCTACCCGCCCACTAGTCACTTAGTAGCCGTCTGGGTTATCAGATCGACTGTCACATCATCGAAGTGCTTGTGTTCAAGTGACCTTTATTTTACTGCATAATGGCCCCAAAACGCAAGAATAGTGATGCTGGCAATTCGGATATGCCAAAGAGAAACCATAAAGTGCTTCCTTTAAGTGAAAAGGTGAAAGTTCTTAACTTAAGAAAAAAATCGTATGCTGAGGTTGCTAAAATCTATGGTAACTTTTATTACAGTATACTGTTTTAACTATTCTATTTTATTATTAGTTACTCTTGTTAATCTCACTGTACTTAATTTATAAATTAAATTTTATCAAAGATATGTATGTATAGGAAGAAACATAGTATATGTAGGGTTCAGGACTATCTGTGGTTTCAGGCATCCACTGGGGGTCTTGGAACATATCCCCTGCAGATAAGGGGGAATACTGTAATCAGATTATCAGGAACATTCATCTGTGTAGACCGTATGACAATAAAATCTTATCTGTAGTATAGGTACTGACTGCTTGTCTATTCTCGGTAAGAAAGGGCCAGGATCCAGCATGGTCCAAAGCAGTCAGTGTCAAGTCATTACAAGTCCTGTTCCAAACTTATTAACTGGAGTCATTCTTACTGACCTTAAGACTCAGAGCAGTATTAAGAGGCCGGGTCTGCACAGACATCCTAAGAGATTGAGGAGGTGTAATATCAAGTTTGAACATTGACTAGATCCTATTCCCAGTTGAAGACCAAGAAATTAGCAATACAAGCTATATTCAGTATGAAATTTTCTCCTGACCCCCCACCTCTGATTTCTTTATAATTTCCCATAGCAGCATACAGTCTCTAGTACAAAATAAAGTGATCATTTCACAATATATATAAATATCCAATCATTACACTGTACGCCTGAAACTAATACGTTGTGTCAGTTATACCTGAATTTTTT